CAGGTGGGGTGGATTTCCACACACAGACAGGGGGCCTCAGTGACGCCCCTGCTGCTGCAAGGCTGTGCCCGCCCTTGAAGGTTGGGCTGGCTCTGAGCAGATGCAGCCGCTCTAAACAGAAGGGCAAGTGACACCGCAGGGGGCAGCTTCTCGCCCTTTCTCCGGGGGCCTCATCACAACTCAAAGCCCCTTAAGGTGTCTGCATCTGTGCTATAAGATTACACTCGGACTTCCCAGCTAATCCCTCACAGCAAGGAGTGAGCCCTGGGAACCCTGGGCTATTTTAACAGCATATGATTTGGATATAATACTATCTGTGACTCACATACTCCTAATCTTCATTTAAAATACCTGAGTCCCGGCCGGGGGTGGTGGCTCACACCTGTAATCCCAGCACTTTGGGAGGCCGAGGCGGGCAGATCACGAGGTCAGGAGTTCGAGAGCAGCCTGGCCAACATGGTAAAACCCCGTTTCTAATTTAAAAAAAAAAAAAAAAAATTAGCCAGGCGTGGTGGCGTGCGCCTGTAATCCCAGCTACTCAGGAGGCTGAGGCAGGAGAATCGCTTGAACCCAGGAGGCAGAGGTTGCAGCGAGCCGAGATCATGCCATTGCACTCCAGCCTGGGCGACAGAGCGAGACTCCCATCTCAAAATATCTGAGTCCCAAAATAAATAATCCATAGAAGCACCTTATTATTTGGAATGCTAACCAATTTTTAACTTTGTTTGGAGACTTTTCCTTTTCAAAGTTCCACTGCCCACATTTTAGACAGACAATTCTCATTCACTCATATGTGTTTACAAATTAGTAATTTTCTAATTTAAACATACTTTTTTTCATTGACATAATGGGATTAAGTTCTTATCTGCTACTTCTCTCCCACAATTTTCTGTCAACAGCTTTCAACTGTTGGCAATTTTTATTTCTAATTTTCAGGACTTATATGGAAAGATACCAGCCTGGCCAACATGGCAAAACCCCATCTCTATCAAAAAATACAAAAATTAGCCAGGCACAGTAGCATGCACCTATAGTTCCAGCTACTCGGGAGGCTGAGGTGGGAGAATCGCTTGAACCCGGGAGGGAGAGGTTGCAGTGAGCCGAGATTGCACCACTGTACTCCAGCCTGCATGACAGAGTGAGACTGTCTTTTATAAAGAACTTATATGGAAAGAAATGCCAGACTTAATAACACCCTTTTTGTTTTTGTTTTTGTTTTTTTTTTTGAGTTAGGACCTCGCTCAGCCTGGAGTGCAGTGGCACAGTCACAGCTCACAATAGTCTCACCCTCCCAGGCTCAAGCAATCCTCCCACCTCAGCCTCCTAAGGGATTATAGGCGGGTGCCACCGTGCCAAGCTAATTTTTTTATTTTTTTGTAGAGATGGGAGTCTCACTATGTTGCCCACACTGGTCTGGAACTCCTGGGTTCAAGTGATCCTTCCATCTTGGCCTTCCAAAGTGCTGGAATTATAGGTGTGAGCCATCGCACCCAGCCTCCTCCTTTAAAAGTCATTCAAATATACCACATTTAAAACTTTCCACCAGGCATGGTGGCTCACGCCTGTAATCCCAGCACTTTGGGACGCCAAGGAGGGTGGATCACCTAAGGTCAGGAGTTCAAAACCAGCCTGGCTAACGTGGTGAAACCCTGTCTCTTCTAAAATTACAAAAATTAGGCAGGCAGCGTGGTGCATGCCTATAATCCCACCTACTCGGGAGGCTGAGGCAGGAGAATTGCTTGAACCTGGGAAGCAGAGGTTGCAGTGAGCCAAGATTACACCACTGCCCTCCAGCCTGGTGACAGAGCAGAGTCTCAAAAAAAAGGAAACCACTCCTCTGTTTTCTTGTGATTTTGCATAAAATATATTTTAAATAGGATTTTAAATAGAATATATTTTTATCTTATTTAAAGCTATGAGAAAATAGAACAATTCTTCTATTAATCTTAATTTTTACAAATAATGGTTTTATTAGCAATATTAATAACCCCCATGTTGATATACAAAAAACATATTCTACAATAGGTTGATTTTGCCTTGCCAATACAGTGCTTTCAAACCAGAAGATCTCACACATCTGGGTTAACTGGATTGTGCATCTGAGTCAGTATTAGGCAACTTTACTCTTATTTCACTGCTTGTTGACACGCAGAGAGAAGCACGGGGGATTTCTGCCATGGCAGGTCTGTGGCCAACATCCGCCCCATGGATGTGTTTTCGTGAACACAGACACTGCTATCCTCAGAAAGCAGGAGGACCCTGGGCTGAAGCAGCCCCAGAGGAGCTCCAGGTCCTCTTCCTCTCATCTTCTTTTTTTTTTTTTTTTTTTTGAGACGGAGTCTCGCTCTGTCACCCAGGCTGGAGTGCAGTGGCCAGATCTTAGCTCACTGCAAGCTCCGCCTCCCGGGTTTACGCCATTCTCCTGCCTCAGCCTCCCGAGTAGCTGGGACTACAGGCGCCCGCCACCTCGCCCGGCTAGTTTTTTGTATTTTTTAGTAGAGATGGGGTTTCACCGTGTTAGCCAGGATGGTCTCGATCTCCTGACCTCGTGATCCGCCCGTCTCGGCCTCCCAAAGTGCTGGGATTACAGGCTTGAGCCACCGCGCCCGGCCCCCTCATCTTCTTTTTAAAGATGAGGAAACTAGAAACTCAGATGGAAAGGAATGCGTGACTTGGCCAAGGTCACCCCAGTGTCCGTCAGGGCAACTGTACCAGCCAGAGGCCCGAGCTCCACCCCATGCAGATGGAATCCAAACAAGGCACCCTCAAGGCCAACCCACGACGGAAACCACACTCCAGCCTTTGGAGTTCTTCACACAGGAATTTCTCTCCCCATCACACATCGTCAGTGGTGGAATCTAACCATCGATTTTGTCAACACTTTTCCCAAGTGGTGACAATGACCTGCCCAGCACTGGCACAAAGTGACAAGTGACACGTGATGGGCAGCCATCCTCCGGCACATAAGGCTCTGGGGACAGGAGAGGTTTGTTCATCCTTGTGTTTAATTCCTCAGAACAATGGTTCTCAATGCAGCCCAGGGGTGCTTTGAGATCTGGTGGGACATATTTGGTGGTCAAGATTCAGAGAGTACTGGAATTTGGCAGGCAGAGGTAAGGGAGGTTGAGACGTCCTTCAATGAGTGAGACAGTCTCACCCAACAAAAACCCTCCATGCACAAAACTTACAATGAACCAGAACTTCACGAGTGGAAAACAGGCTTCTAACTCTCTGAACTCAGAAACTTACTCTATTCAACATTTACACACAAAACATTTTTGCACGGTCTTACTATGACTTGAAATTTCCATGAATTCAACTATTACATAAGTCTAGAAAAATTTATAGTTTGCTTTATTTCAAAGTTCATTAGCAACTGCTCACTATTCTGTAACATTCCATCACCAGCTGGGGGCTGAACTCCCAGTGTCACACCTGGGTCCGTCTGCAGGGACCACCCCCCAATCACCAGGATGCAACACACCAGGTGGGACGTCTGGCTTTTTCACGGCCGACCATCACCATGTTGAAATGTGTTGTCTTATCACACAATACTATCACATTTATTCTCTATAGCTAGGGCAGTCTATTAATTTTAAGTTATAAATTACATTTTCTTTTTTCTTTTTTGAGACGTAAGTTGTATTTTCTAAACACTGCATTTTAGGGTAAGAGGACATTACCCCAAAAAACTATCCTTAAAAAAAAGGCATTGGGCCCAACAGCTTTGCACAGCTGACCTGAGAGCCCAACAGCGTCCCTGCACAGAGGACACGGTAAACAAACTCCTGCTGGGGGGAAACGCGAGGGACAGCATATGTGCAGGGTGAAGGCCCCGTCTCAGAGGAGCACACGAACGCTCCCCACCTCCCGCCCGCGAACTGAAATGCCAATTCCACCGCCAGCAGCTGAGCTTGGAGGGCGGGGTAGCGTTTCCAAAACCCCCGGCACGCCTGAGAGTTCCAACAGGCACCAATGCTTCAGCTAGCACAGCAGCCATCAGCTGGAGCTGCCCCCAGACAAGCCAGGACAGCCAGCCACCTCGGTACTAGGGTATGTTCACGAACATCCCATGCCCAGCCAGCCAAGGAGCCCCTGCTCTCCCTTCCCACACTCCCTGGCAAGGTCCACAAAGCACCTAACCCAGCGACAGCCGCCAGCACACATGGGCGGCAAGGTCACAACAGTCCTTCCAGGCTTGCTGCGGCTCCCATTCCTCGGCATTCACATGTCCTCCCCGGCCCCACCGCTGCCATCCCATCATTCTCTCTCCTCCCAGACACACCGGGCAGAAGGCTGCGGCCAGACCAGGGAACCTGAAGAGAGCAGCGCTCAGTCAAAAGGCCACTCGTCAAGCACAAAGCCATGCCGTGTCCGCGGCCTTAAGCAGGACTTCTTTCTGGCCAGGTGTGGGGAAGGCTAGCAACGCCAGAGCCTGAGCTTCAGCACAAGTTGCTAGCTGGAGCATCTGACAAGAAGCCTTGGATGAGTGGACACCAAGCAGCTCTGAGACTTTCTAAGACATCATAAAGGTTCTACTCAAGCAGTTCACAAACCACCACACAGCTTTCTAAGATTAGACTCTACTTTTTAAAAATAAGCAAAATAAAAACTGCAGGCTTGAATGGAAAGTTTGGTATAGTCACGTGAAATGTATAAACACCACATATGAAGAAAAACGTATCTAAAGACTAGCCAGATAGAGTAGGAAAAAGGAAAGAAGCACATATACATCTTCTAAGATTGGGGGGGTTAGTTCCAAAGAAAAGGTGCAGGGGTCTGTTTTGTGGAAAGGACACGTGAGGATGACTTCAGGTCGTCCTGGCAGGATGCCACATGCTCGGTTTCGGTCTAACTAAACTCAGCTTCAGTTAGAAACTGCTAAGGCAGACACCGCGCATCTCCAGCAAACTGAGCTACTAAGCTGCGGGCCTGGGCGAGGAGGTGACCCGCTTCTCCCCAAGTGACCTGAAGGCCCCGGCACCCTGGTCTGTTCTTACCATCGCACTTTGTTGCACGTCTGGGTTGCCCCAAGAGGGGAGCCGGCCACCATGGGAACCTGGATGGGGCTGTGCTGCTTGTTCGTGACCAGATCCAGCTTTTCCTCTAAGGATTTACAAGTGGCCTCCAGGGCCTGCAACTTGGCTTCAATGCTATCCAGCCGCAAGCAGATTGTCTGGTTGATGGAATACAGGAATGACTGGAAGTGAAAAAAGACCGGCTTTAGGAAGGGTCTCCTGAACTGTAAGAAGACAACCCCAGGAAACACCGAACAGCTATTTCCTGATCTCAACTCCATCTATTCGGACAGGACAATCTCCACACTGGAACTGGCTGGTTAGCTACGAGCCAGAAGCCTGAGAGTAACGAGTTCCCACTTTACACATGAGTCACACGTCCTGTTTGAAATGTGATGATTTCATCATGGTTTCACTTCTATGTGCAGTTGCAATTCTTAGTTAAGTCCACTTAATTTTTAAAAAGTATGTACTTTAATATGTTATTATTAATCAGTAAATTTACACAAAAACTAGTCAAATCTTCTCAACAATAAAAACAGATTACACCTAACATCAAAACAGCGTAAAAGCCACAGGCCATGCACATTCACATCACACCCCGCTGCCTAATCGGAAGCTGCCTAATCGGAAACGGTGACTGGATCCCCTGTGGCCCTGACGGATTCGGTCCTGAGGCTCCCGTGGGGCTCCTGAGCGGCAAGCTCGCCACCTAGTGGCCGGCAAAGCCGGGCTCCACGTCTGACCTTTCTCCTCCGGATTCCTAACTCCAAGTAACCACCATGAGCAGTGATGTGTCGGACTCAAACCCAAGAAACAGAGAAACACACAAAGCAGAAAGGGAAGAACTTCATTTCCCCAACTGCCGTCCCAGCCAGGAGCCGCCAGGACCACATGTGGAAACGTGTTCATCACGCAGGAATTCACTGAGCAAAAGAGACACCCTCCACCAGGGCTCACCAGCAGACAGAAGGACACTCCTTCCGGGCTAGGGAGGGGCAAGCTGGGGGAGTGCCCACCAGCCCCGCTTAGTAGTCAGGAAGGCTGGCACCTGCCTTAAGAATCAATAGCTGAAAATACCACAGAATTTGTGTTTCGTCTTTTCTCTCTCTTTTTCTGCCCATGGCCTAAAGAGTGTGGGGCCCAAAGTGCACACATCAGAAGGAAGAGGGAGGTAGGTGCGGGAGAGCAGGGGCGGCACTGCGGAAGCCACTGAGAGCTGGCTGTGGAGCTTGCACACAGGGGAGCGGGAGGCCGGCCCACACTCGCAGGGGAGCAGGAGGCCGGCCCACATTCACAGCGGAGCAGGAGGCCGGCCCACACTGGAGCTGGAACAGCTTTCCCACTAACTGCGGCTGACCTACAGCCCACTCTCCTTTCTGATCTAAGGGGAATCTGCAGAATATCAAAATTACAGTGATATCAAACATCATGTAAGCTGGCATGGAAACCTGGTGTACATAGTGGCAGGGACAGCACTGCAGGAGGGAAAATCCACATATTGCCCAACAACTCACCTTTTCTCAGGTCACCACCTCTCCTGGCAACATTCACCACTAGGCGCTGATATAGACAGGAGCTAAAGAAACCAAGTGAAATTCACCCCCCTGACTGACTACTCTCTGTTGGAATGACGCTGAAGGCCCGTGTGACAGAGGGAAGGAGCCTCGGTGTCAGGTGGACCCAAGCCCACGGATGACACTCAGTCAGCTTACCTACAAATGAGCACGGTCCATGGCATGACAAACATGCGTCGTCTTGAAAAGCAACAATGGGTGGCTGAATCCCTGAATGGCCACTGACAACCCCACTATTTTCACCAACTGGAGAACATCAAATGTTCGGCTCTCAAATTCTTTGAACAGTGCGCCCACGTTATTTTAATTCTGAACTACAAATGATTCTGTCTGGGGTTTGGGGGAAAATCACTCTTACATGCTAATAAAACAACCTAGAGCCACACATGACTCTACGCAGGTCACATTCAACCAGGGGCCCAACCTCTCCTCAACAGTAGGACAAGGACAAAGGCAGGGCCGCTTCCATGCCCACTTTATATATTTCTGTGCTGGGCGTAACAGGTGTGTCTTCTGCGATAAAATTACAACTGTATTTATTTAGGGGATGAAAATGCAGTGTTTACTAACAGAACCACATCCTATCGACTGGTTGGAAACGGGCATTTTACTGTGAACTTATTTTTAAGTTTTTCATACACATTTACACTGCTTCTCCTTGTTAACAAAACAAATTAAATATGACCAAGTAGAAACCCTGTGTAGGTAGAGGAATTACATGAAAAGTGACTTTGGTTTTGTGTTGCTCTCATAAACTTCTCACACGTGCTGGTATTTACCTCTGTGACTCTGCAAACACTGGAACCAATCAAGCAAATTCAAAGATCCAAAAATAATTAACGGAACGAGTGGTTCTGAAGAACCCCATCCAGTAAACTTTAGAATCTAAGTGACTTAAAATGGCAGACACAGAAGTCATTCATCACTGGTAGAAAGTTCACTTTCCTTCCACCCAAAATGGGCCTGCAGGTGTGTGGGAAGATGCCTCCTTCAGCAGCATCTCAAGGTAAACAATTCTTACTCTTTGTGCTCTTCAAGAGAAAAAAATGGCTCACACTCTTCTGTAGTGGGCTGCCTGGTGATACAGCCACATCCTAAAATGTATATCCACATCCTAACCGCTAGAATCTACCCATGTGGTCTCTTTGGAAACTGTGCAGATGTAATTTAGATGTAATTTAGAAACTCTTTGGGTCTGTGCAGATGTAATTTAGTCAATGAGATCAACCTGGATTAGGGTGGGCCTTAAATTCAATGGCAAGTCCTTACTAGAGGAAGAAGGGGAAACAGTCACAGACACACAAAGGCGGCAGCAACATGAAGCGGAAGGTAGAGGCTGGAAGGAGCCCCACAAGGTGAGGGAGGCCCGGAGCCACTAGAAGCTGGAAGAGGCAGGAAGGATCCACCTTCTAGAACCTTTGGAGGGAGCCAGACCCTGCCCGCATCTTGGTTTTGATCTCTGGCCTCCACCGCTGACAGGCTACATTTTTAGGCCATCTCGTTGATGGTGATTTGTTACAGCAGCCCTTGAAATCTGCAGTGCATTACACATTACGGAACAGAGTCAGATTTTTACCTTTATAGACGGATCCTGGCAATTGATTTCTAGTCGCTGGCGTTTCAAAGCAGGTTCGTCTTCATCTGTCACTACATGATTCTCCAAAACAACTGAAATCGGTGACAGAGAAAAAAATGTTTAACATGAAAAGTTTTACAGAATTATTTTAACATTAAGACAGTAAACAGCGCTGACACCTTAAGGTTGAATGAGAAATAGCAGAACCTATTTCATATTTTGCCTTTTTAAACTTATTCTCAGTCAGCAGAAAATAGGATAACTCCTTAATCCCAAGAAAAGCCCAGACACTGGGCAATTAATGTGCCACTGAGTCAGTCCTAACTCCAAATCTGCAAGCTTCTGACTCAATGCTCTATGGGGCTGCCCTGTTTGGTTTGATAAAACCCAATCGATAATAATGATTTCTTCCCCACTTTAAAATAAAGTTGTATCTGTTGGTCACCTCATTCCAAACTCAAAGCCACTCTAACTGCAGGTCCAGAACTGAAAGGGGAAAAACAACACTGAATATCACATCGTCATAGGTGCTAATAATCAAAACAGTCTCAACCTGAACACACTAAGTGACAGAACCCCAACCCTCCCAGCACAGCTGAGACCAGCTGCCCCCATCACACAGCCAGCCTCAGCTGATCGCCACGGCTTCCCACAGGATAAGCAACTCGGCCCCAGCTCAGGGCGGCCACAGTCCGGTCCCAACCTCCTTCCTTTTGTCTAAAATTGACTACAAAAACAAAGTAAAAGATAACCTCAAAATCAAAGACCAAAATCGGCCACAACTGCCTCATCTCTGCAAACCACATGTCTATCTGTCTGTCACTCTTCTAGTCCTCTCTTTTCCTTTGACCTAGTCAATTTTTAAAAATTTACATATTTGCAGTTATAGACAGAAGTTTAAAAGGTCAACAGTTCTTGCTAAAGATTGTAGATTGTGCCACGAGTGTTTTTTTCTTCTCATTTCCTTGCCTGAAATGACAGTGTGAACTGTCCAGTGCATTCCTACCGTGCTCTATTCTACACGCTCACACGTCAAGAGAAACAAACGGTACACATGTGGGAGGTGCGAGACCATCTACCGCGTCAGCAGGTTTGTCTGCAGCCTTCCTCTTCACTGAGCAACAAACATGGACTCTGTGTTCATATTAATCTTTCTTTTTTGTTTGTTTGTTTTGTTTGTTTTCGTTTTTTAGAGATGAGGTCTTGCTATGTCACCCAGGCTGGACTCAAACTCCTGTACTCAAGGGACCCTCCACCTCAGCCCCTGAGTAGCTGGAACTATCCAGGTTATAATATTAATAGCTTTAAGTTTTTAACAGTAATACCAGTGTGTGACTATTTACAAAAATGAATGCCAGTATACACGAATAGATGCTATATACATGCATACATATGAGCATGCTTACTGTAACGCTCCTGGTAGAAAAAAATCAGAAATCTGAATGAGGCCACTGGGAATACCCTTGAGCACATGCACACCTTTGGCACACCATCTGCTTTCAAGGCACCCACGTCACAGCCAAGCAGGATGACCTCACTGTGGCCAGATGACACCCGCCCCACTCTGCTGGTGTGGACTGTGCCCCAGCCCTTCCCATACTACCAACCCTCCAGCCGTCTCCACCAGGGAAATCTAACCACCTTCTGTCCAGCCCCACTCAAATGCCACCTTGTTCGGGAAGCCATTCCTGGAAGAGCCTCAGCTCACACCTGTTTATACTTTTATACTGTGACACCAACGAGGTGACAGCACCCACCCCAGAGCAGACCACCCTCCCAGCACCTTACACGCAAGGCTGCCCACAGATGTGGGTGAAGCACTCCTGGCTGGCATTCAGATTCTCCAGCTGCTAGAGGAAAGCCAAGTGCACAGGCCTCTCTGGTCCCTGCCTCCACCTCCACCAAAGCAACTCCCCGCGGAATTATATAGATTGACATTCAGAAGAAGATCTTAACAGGAAAACAAAAAAGAAGGTCCATGCCTTTAAGCCTGTACACACTAGATGATTCCGCTCAAAACTCTGAAACTTAAAGATGCAGAATTGTCCCACAGTTCTAACAGGAACCTCTCACAGGTCCTAGGCAAAAGCAGTCAAATCTGATGTACCCAGTGGGAAATTATCCAAAGCCAAGGACTACTGTCGGCTCACAAGCAGCACATGGCCCTGCCTTCGGCCTCATGACTCCTCAGAGGCAGGGAGCGCGTCAATCATCACCACCTAAGCCTTTGCAGATGAATTCTCACGTAACGAAACTTTTCAAACTCCATGCCCGCAAGTGCCTGTGGTTAGTCAAACGTTCCCAGGACCTCAGTCAAAGGCTCTTTACTCTCATTGGAAACTGGTCATCACACCAGGCCTGGAAGAACAGAGAGAGACCCTCGCACTTATTACTGTAACTTTTTAGTTTGTTGAGAAGAAAACAAGTCCAGAAAGGTTACGGGACTTCTCTGGGGTCACAGAGCTAGTTTCGTCATAAGGGCAGCAGACAGGCATGCAGTAACTCCAGTAATGACTCCACAGATAATGACACAGCAAGTGACATTTATTTTCTTCTTTGTACTTTGCTGCTTTTTGTATGTGTTGCTTTTTATAATTTTGTATGCATTACTTTTAGAATTAAAATAACTCCTTGTTCATTTTTAAAATATCAACATCAGGCTGGGTGCAGTGGCTCACGCCTATAATCCCAGCACTTTGGGAGGCCGAGGTGAGTGGATCACCTGGGGTCAGGAGTTCGAGACCAGCCTGGCCAACATGGTGAAACCCCTGTCTCTACTGAAAATAGAAAAATTAGCTGGTCATGGTGGCAGGCGCCTGTAATCCCAGCTACTCGGGAGGCTGAGGCAGGAGAATCGCTTGAATCTAGGAGACAGAGGTTGCAGTGAGCCAAGATCATGCCACTGTACTCCAGCCTGGCGACAGAGCAAAACTCTGTCTTAAATAAACAAATAAATAAATAAAGACATCACAATCAATCAACTGCAATGACAGGCCTTATGCAAGTCACAATTTTTGCATTCAGACAGGTAGAGTTAGCACAAGCCATGGTCGGTACACATCAAGTCAGATGATCCTAGAAGTCTTTCTTTTAAATAAAAATAAGAAGAAATTGGAAAGACACACACATCAACAATTTAAAAGCTGCTACAACCAGTAGGATTATGGAAAATTTTTATTTCTTCTACTTTCTTGACTATCCTGTTAAACTTTATTAGATGTATACTTTTGAGATGAGGAAAGTACTTTAAACCCACAATGAATGCAAACATGCGTGACACACCAAGGTACCTGCAGCTGTGCACACCTTCTCCTGGGTCCAGACTGCAGGCTTTGTACTGGGCAGGCCAACGAGCTCTGCGCACAGTAGGCTTTTAACAAATACTCAAGAAACCATAGTTCTCAGGCATTTAAGGAACAGAGATGGAACAAAATCAAGATTCGAAATTATTTCTCTAAGCTTTTTTTGGGCCACAGTCTACAAAGAGAGATTTATTGGGGAAGTAGGCTGTCAGAACTTTAATGGTTCTGAAATCACTGGAAATGATGTAACTGGAACAGTTTTCTTTTACAAGATTACAGTGTATGTTTTATAAAGAAACTGTCATTTGCCTTCTAAACTAGAAACAGGAATTTGTAAAATAATGTGCAGTGATCGTGTGGAAAACTAACCAACAGCACTCCTGAAATGCTGCCTTCATGTTCCCCTGGGACTGCTCACCTCACCCCAAAACTATTTCTATTGCCCTCCCCTTCCAGACTACAACTAGTCTCCACATGTAGTTTCCTCGACTAACAGAGCAAACAGATCATAGGAATGGACATCAGACTTCCTTATGAGAGTTCTGAAAATTCTCTCTTCTGGAGGAATAAATTGTCAGCCTTTCGATTTGAACATTCCTGAAAGAATAACCAGGCAACCGAAACACTCAGTGCCTTAGCTGTGGTGGGCTTGTCACTTCAAACTTAACAGAACAATAAAACACATACCACTTTACAGAAAAAAAAAAGAAGAAGAAGAAGAAGAAGAAGAAATCTCTTTAAAACAGTAAGTGTGGACAAAGTGTTTTCACAGATGAAGAGATGAAGTTCCTGAAATTTAAGGTTTCATTTCTCAAGGCTCTCCTTTAAACAAGTTTATTATTTCAAAGTAGACATGTGCCTTTAACATCATTTTTAAAAATTACCAGCCTTAGCAAAGGTGTAGAAAAAAACGTGTTCTCAAGCACTGTCAGTGGAAGAATTAGTAAAACATTTCTAGAGAACCTCTCAGTGTCTTAACAAAATTTTAAACACACGTAGCAATTTTCCTTCTGGGAACTTCTCTATTTGCCAAGATACATATGCAAGGATCTTCCCTATAGGGTTGTGTATAAAGGAAAAATCAGACAGACTATGCCAGGAGCCCCCGAAGGGAAAAGTCAACTGTGGAGGGGGCACCTGTGAATGAATTCTGCGGAGTTGCTAACAGAGCAGACTTTCACACACAACATGGTAAGGTTCCACGATGCTGCACACAGGGGATTACACACACAACATGCTAAGGATCCACGAAGCCGCACACAGGGGATTACACACACATCATGGTAAGGATCCACGACGCCGCACACAGGGGATTACACACACATCATGGTAAGGATCCACGACGCCGCACACAGGGGATTACACACACAACATGGTAAGGATCCACGATGCCACACACAGGGGATTACACACACATCATCGTAAGGATCCACGACGCCACACACAGGGGATTACACACACA